GTTCGAGAGTTTTTGATTCGATTTCTTTGCTCTATGTCTTTCCTTCCTTTTATACTCCCTGGATAATCTCTTTGTGATCAACCGCCTAAAAACTGCTGGATCGTTTTATAATTGCCCACTTTCCTCGTAATGGCCAACTTGTCACGGAACTGCCTTTTTTAACTGCTGCCATTATTCTTCGTCGTTCAACCATTTTCGATTGAATTCTTTGAATCGTGGAACGTGATAGGGCTGCTTTAATAACTACTTTGATAACTGCACTTCTTGATAACTACAACACTTTATGTTTGCTAAGACTTTGGGCAACTCGAAGGTTTGGGCGAGAATAGAGTAACAGCTCTGGGCAACTGCATGGCACTCCATTTGCTCAGATTCTGGGCGACTTGCAAACTTGGGCGATGGTGTTACCGTGTTCTTGGGCCTCTCTATTTGGGCCTTCATCTTGAATTGTTTGATTGGGCTTCATTCGTTGGGCTATCTGATTTGGGGATCCTCCAATTGGGCTTCATTCCTTGGGCCGTTCGATTTGGGCTGAATTTTTATGTGTCAACATGAATATAAATGTTCAATCTATTCCTATAATAATAAAGAAATAGTAAATCGTCTCGACCAAGAGAATAAATGAAACTAGTATAATTACTGCATATAAAATCCAATAAGTAAGATTTCTTGCATCAAAAGCCAATTACCACACTACAGAAAACAGCTTGTTTCAACAAACATTGTATTCATCAATCTTGACATCAATACATCATTTTCTTCCTAACAATATCCGAAGTTTATTGTCTTTGGCTGGGAATACAAACTAGGGAATTTCATCACCTAACTAAACTAGGAATTAATTTCAATCTCAGCTCTTCAACGCCAAGTCCCTTCATCCCACGTCCAAAATCAGCCCCCGACATCAACAGCCCTCCTCCTCCCTCGAACTCCTATTTATCTCCTTCACTTGAGTCCATGAATTCTTCTCGCTCAGTCGGCTCACCGATCACTGCCTGGCAAAAGAAACTCGATGACTACATCAAAAGTCTGGACAAGTTCAATAAAAGTCTAGGGGCAAGATATTCTACCACCAGTCCTTATTACAAGAGACTAACAGACTTTTCCCTAGTAATCAATAGAGAAAAGTACTCAGGGTCGAGTCATGGAAGAGAGAGTAATGCAACAAGTTTCGCCAGCTCTAGTTCCAAATCCAGTTTTGTCCTCAAGGTGGAAGAATGGGGTTCTTACTTTACCGGCGCTAGAAAGCTCGATAAGACATCATCGTCTGGTACTTTTTTGACCAAGAGTTCCCACGACATTCATGCAGCAAAAATCAGAGAAACGGGTACAGTGATTACAAAAATTAGAACCACAACAACAAAAAATGATCAAGAATCATACTCTGATCGGAAAAGAGTTACCTTTAATTCCATTAATAGCAAATGTGATACTATCGCTTCATCAAATAAGGAGAAGCCTTTGAGGGGGAAAGATTAAGAGAAATCATCAGTGCCGACTACATTGCATACTATAACTGTTAGAAGTGTGACTCAAATAGGAATCTAAATTGCATTAGATTTTCTACTTTTTTGGGACTCTTTTAGGGTTAGACTCATGGACTATAAATTAATGTCTCCTCTGTCAGTTTTATTGGAGTCTTTTGCTGTATTGTACTTTCCTTTCATAGTGAATTAATAAAACATCGTTCCTTCTGCCAGTTTTTCTTTCACTTACTTTAATCTTGTTCTTAGGTTATTGGTGATCTTATTCAATACTTCAATTACAACAAGTGAAATTCATTAAATCTCAATTCCTGCATCATTGGTCAATCGGTCTTAACAAGTGGTATCAGAGCGGGGTTCTTGATGAATTTCTGGCCTGAAACTGATAGGAAAATCGTCTAAAAATTACTAGAAAATCAGAAAACGAATCTGTCCAATTTTTCGATTTTCTGTCGGATCTGTTTTTGTGTTTTATGGTCAAACCAAAAAGAGTTTGGAGAAACGAACACCACCAGTGGACTCAGCAGGCAGAGACGGTCTAGAAATGATCACAGGTCGTCGGCGCGTTCCCGGCCTGTCGTCGGCGGTGGAACTCCGGCGAGGAGAGTGGCGGCGCATGCGGCGATTTTCGGCGATGGTGTCTTCAGAAGTTTTCTTCGGACGACGAGACGGACCTTTTGGTGGTGTCCAATTTGAATTTCGGGCAAAATTGTGGTTCTAGACTATTTTGCCCCTTGCACGTTCGGTAATTTTCATTTTTGGGTGTTGCAGGTTGCAAGTTCTTTATGATTTGATTGAGATTTTTCAGAGATGAATTCGTTGAAGTATGAAATTCCACTATTGGATCGCAATACAAGATTTTTGCTGTGGCAAGTAAAGGTGAGAGCTGTGTTGATGCAGATGGATCTTGATGATGTTTTGCTGGGTTTTGATAGGATGTCAGCAAACTTGTTTATGGAGGAGAAACAACGGAAGAACTGGAAGGCTTTAGCGCAAATCCAACTTCATTTATCCAACAATTTGCTGCAAGATGTTTTGAAGGAGAAGACAGCGGCTGCTTTGTGGCTCAAGTTGGAGCAGTTGTGCATGACAAAGAGTTTGAGAAGCAAACTGAATCTAAAGCAGAGGTTGTATTCTCACCACATGGCGGAAGGAGGGTCACTGCAGGACCATCTTACTGTGTTCAAGGAGATCGTTGCAGATTTGGAGACGTTGGAGGTAAAATATGATGAAGAGGATCTAGCCTTGGTCCTGTTGTATTCGCTACACAATTCTTTTTTGTCATTTCGTGATACTATTTTGTGTAGTCGTGACACGTTATCCATTGAGGAGGTATACGACGCCCTGTTCTCAAAGGAGAAGATGGAGCTGTTGGTTGGAGATCCTACATCTAGGAGTGGAGATATTCTTGTTACTCATGGTGATCGACGGAGGGGTAGATCAAAGGTGAAGTATAGCAATGTGCATTGTTATTACTGCAAGAGGAAAGAACACATCAAGAAAGATTGCGATAAGTTGCAAGGTAAAGGTGATTTACATGCAAATCATGCAGGGCAATCAGGTAATTCGAACGAGACTAATATTGCTGAAAATTTTTGTGATGATGGAGATGTGATGTTGGCTGTATCTGACGGGGAATCCAAACCTGAGGAGTAGATCTTGGATTTTGCTTGTTCGCATCATATGTGTCCTAATAGGGCTTTGTTTCAAACATATGAGACGGTGAAGCAAGGTAGAGTTGTCATGGGAAACAATCAATCTTGTCGGGTTGCAGAAATCAGTCGGGTTAGATTGAGGCTACAAGATGGAACAGTGAGGACACTTGATCAGGTTCGCCATGTTCCAGACTTTACAAAGAATCTCATATCATTAAGTACCTTGGACGAAAAAGGGTACAAATTTTCAGGTAGAGGTGGAGTTTTGAAGGTTCGAAGGGGTGTCCGGGTTGTACTGGAGGGACAGAGGAAATTCCAGTTGTACATCTTGCAGGGGAGCGTAGAACCAGTTCAGAGACATTTGGACAAGTTCAGTACCGTGGTGGACATTCAATTGGTACAGTACCTCTCGGTTTGGCTCTGAGTCAATTAAGAACTTTGCTCAAGGGAGTGTTGGTGATTCCGCTTTGTCACCAATTTTAGCTGGTACACTGCATTCTTGTAATGCCAATGGACTCATGGAGCGTAGGTACAGTTTTGGAGATGTTTGTTATGCTTTAGAAATCATTGAAGGTGACAACATTGGCAAGGGACCTTCTGATTGTGCATTTGGTGTGATTTCTGCTACAGGTTGTGCTTTGACCCTGTCCAGTGATTGTTAATTCCAGGAGGAATTTTGAGAACTTGGGTTTGGGTTCGGGTGTCGCTTGTGGATGCCGGGCGGGGGAACGTGTTATCGTGGAGAGTTTGGTTACTGTGTTGAGGAGATTGGTTATTCTGATGCAGACGGATTATTTCTCAAGGTGGAAAAATTTTAGAGCTTCGTTTGTTGCACCGAAATTTTGAGTCAAGGTGGAGATTGTTAGAAGTGTGACTTAAATAGGAATCTAAATTGCATTAGATTTTCTACCTTTTTGGGACTCTTTTAGGGTTAGACTCGTGGACTATAAATTAATGTCTCCTCTGTCAGTTTTATTGGAGCCTTTTGCTGTATTGTACTCTCCTTTCATAGTGAATTAATAAAACATCGTTCCTTCTGCCAGTTTTTCTTTTACTTACTTTAATCTTATTCTTGGGCTATTTGTGATCTTATTCAATACTTCAATTACAATAAGTGGAATTCATTAAATCTCAATTCCTGCATCATTGGTCAATCGGTCTCAACAGTAACAGTACCATATTCGCCACCACAACAAATTCTTTCACGAGAACTGTCGTTGCTAGCTCCAATACAACTACCACATGTACTTTTACCCGCACAACCACCAATTTTGTCTCCACCTTCAACACTAGCTCAAACTACTGATGTTGAAGTGGTTCTCTTAAAGAGCAAGGATACAAGTACGACAGAAAATGAGAGAAAATATGTATGGGCAGACAAATATCGGCCTTCTTGCTTGCAAGATTTTCTATGCAATAGGTAAAATGCACTCTGGCTGTAGACAATTGTGAGAAATTGGCAGTATAGAACAGAAAAATGCGGTCACTTCATATTTGAAGGACACTCAGGTGTGGGAAAGAGAACCATGATCTGGGCTTTGCTTAAAGAAGACTTTGGAGCAGACAAAGTACAGGTACTCTCTCTCTCTCCATATATATATATATTGTGACGCATTTCAATGGGAGAATATAAATAGCCTTAACATATAACAGAAGTATTCACATTTGGATGCAAAATCAGAAAGTTGATTTACACGAGGTGAAAAGTGCATGTTCATGAACTCTGCACAAATTCTATGCTTCTCAGATTGAAGGTACATCAGACTGGTAAAGTTTTCGACAAATTCACAAACCAAGATTCAAAATTTACTAGAAGGAAAGAACACCTAAAATATATATAAGCACTAATTAATTTCTCTAAATGCGTAGAAATTGTGACAAGAATTTTACCCCAAATAATTCATCAATACAGGGAGAAGCAGTAGGCAGCATCTCAGTAAATTTGATGGTATCAACACAACACATTGAAGTCAATCTCTCTGAACTGAAAGGATACGAGAAACATATCATTGTCGAACTAATCGAGGAGAACAATAGTGAGTCTGATAAAGCTTTTCAGTGCAATCAAGAGAGTTGTAAAAGTATACTATAATTTATGCACCTATCACTACTTCAAAAACAAGACAAACTGAAATGACCTGCACGGCATATTTATATGTTGATCCATGCAGTAATCATTTTATACGAGGCAGACAAGCTATCTACTGATGCCGTGATATACATCACATGGGTACTAGAGAGGTATAAAGGGTGTAATAAGGTATTCTTTTGCTGCAGTGACATCTCAAAACTACTGCCTGTAAACTCACTTTACACCATTGTTCAACTTCTCGAACCTTCTAATGGAGAGGTAACAATCTGGTATTTAGTTTAGAGTCTCAAGTTCAGCATCTCACTGATACCGTTGTCTTGGTTGAGATTAAGTCTCACTCTCACTATTTCTGCATTTTCTTTTGTCTATTATAGATTGCTGAAGTCTTGGAATTCATAGCAAAACAAGAAGGCATACAGCTACCCTATCAGTTGGCCGTTAAGATTGATAATGGCACGAAGAATAACCTAAGACAAGCCATACGCTCATTTGAAGCTACCTGGCAATTCAAGTATCTAAATATATTTTTTGGCAACCGCTGCAGTAGATTTTATATTTCTCCAGCAACTTTCTTCTTCCTACACCTCATTTGTACAATGATCTGGTTGCAGTTCATCCTTGAAAGAAGATCAGGATATCAAGACTGGATGGGAATATAAAATTGAGAAACTGGCAAAAAACATAATAGAAGAGCAAAGTCCCAAGCAGTAAGTTGTCAATTCTTTAGCATTCTGAAGATAAATGTCAAAAAATATTTCCCAGACTTAAAAATGTTAGTTTTACTATTAACTGCTGAGTCAGATTTGCCTTTACTCAAATCTAACAGCAAAGACCTATATGCTTCTGTAGGGCCAAATTCCGGCCAAGCACCAAGGTAAACCGGGCTCAGTTTCACCAAGAAAGTCGACACCACCAACGGGTTGAGACAACTCCAAACCACCACCAACGCCGCCCCACTTCTGGTTGCTATTAGTTGGACAAGATGAAGTACAATAATATGCCCACTAGAAAAGAACCACAAAGGTCACATAGAAGAGGAGAAAACCGAGAGGAGAGTATCACAGAGAGAGGTTGGGCATACTTCATATGGAGGCCGAGAGGAAGGCCAAGAATATAAGCCAAGCAAATAACCAAACAAGGTAAGTTAGGTTAGGGTTATTTAGTGGACCAAACAAGGCTCGACTCAAAAGTAATGGGCTTCAAATTAATAACATAGCCTTCCAAGGAAATGGGACGAACCGTGAGCAACAATATTAAGAATAGGTTGCTTCGAACGGTCCATAGGAATGTGGATTGGGTTATCTCGATAATTGTGTCGATATACTAATTAATCATATGGCCAAGGCCGATCGATAATAGAACCGGGGTTACATCATAGCCCGGGAGGTTGTTTGACAACAAATTGCCTAACAACCTCCACCTTGGTGTCAAAGGACCTGTAAAAGAAAAATGTCTCCCATTAGTGACACCTCTAATGGAAAATCGATAAAAATTGGAAATTATTTACCTATACCAATGTTTAGAAGTTCCTTGCAACTTCTAAACTTTGCAAGTGGCAGTACCTTCGTCCCCATATCATAGGGGTTGTAGTGGGTGTGGACCTTTTCAAGTCTTACCACCTCTTGAGATACTATATCTCTAATGAAGTGGAGTCTAACATCAATGTGTTTAGTGCGCTCGTGAAAAACGGGGTTCTTGTATAAATGTATAGATGACTGACTATCAGAGCACACTACCACATAATCATTCAAGACACATAGTTCATGAAGTAGGCCTCTAAACCATAGAGCTTCTTTAATAGCTTTAGTGGTAACAATATATTCTGATTCTGTAGTGGATAGTACAACAATATGTTTTAACTGTGATTTCCAACTAGAACATGAATTAGATAAGGTAAACACGTAAGAAGATTGCACGTATGAGATTTCAAAGCATCAGTTCTACATGATAAGATTGAAATGTGCAGAAGTTATTAATGGGATTGTAGCTGAGCAGTACAAAATTTTATGGGATTACAGTGAGAAATTGAAGAGAACAAATCCAGGCAGTACAGTGCAGATCGAATGTTCAAGTCATACTTTTAAGAGATTGTACATCTACTTAGGAGCTTGGTGCAGGCCAGTTGTTGGATTGGATGGATGCTTTGTAAAATCTGCAGAAGGTGGGCAGTTGTTGGCATCGATGGTGAGAACTGTATGTTCTCGTTAGCATGGGCAGTTGTGAATGCGGAGAACAAAACAAACTGGCAATGGTTCATAGAGTTGTTGGTTCATGACATAGGGATGCACAACCGTCGAGCATGGGCATTCATTTCCAACAAACAAAAAGGGTTTGGTGGATTTCATAAGTCAATACTGTGAAGGAGCGGAGCATAGGTGTTGTGCTAGACATCTTTATAGCAATTTCATCTTGGCACACAAAAGTCTAGCCCTTAAGAACCTATTTTGGACTGTAGCAAGGGCAGTGCTAGAGTGAAAGAGTGCAATGAATGAGTTAAAAGACATAAGTGAAAAGGCTTACAACTGGTTCTTTGAAAAACCTCCTTCCCAGTAGACCAGATCCCATTTCGAAGAGCATTCGAGATGTGATATTCTTCTTAATAATTTGTATGAGGCATTCAATTTTTCTATTGTTGTTGCTAGAGACAAGCCCATCATCTCGATGCTAGAGAAAATTCGGCATTAGCAAATGATAAGGATGAATGCAAAAAGGGAAGCAGCACAGAGGTGGGATCATGCATTCGGACCAAGAATTGTGAAAATCATTGAGAAGGGTAAGTCTGAGGCAAGGTATTTGAAGGCAGACTATGCAGGTAACCATAAATTTGAGATAAGCAGCAGAGACGGTTTGAGGTGGAGCGTTGACTTGACAAAACATTCATGTGCATGCAAAAAATGGCAGCTTACTGGAATACCATGTCCCCATGCAATATCAGGCATGCTTTCTAGGGATATTGGCATATATGAGTACATCAACCCATGGTATAACAAGGAAACAAGCCTCAAGTGTTACTCCCCGGTGATCCACCCGATGTCAGGGCTTGAACTGTGGCCAAAATTGGGAAAGCATCATCTCAATCAACCCAGAAGAAAAAATAGGCTGACAGACCCAAAAAAATGAGGAAGAGGTCACGGGCAAAGCCACCTGCAGGAGTTAAGATAGGAAGGATTGGCATGAAGATGACGTGTAAACGCTGTGGAGGGTCTGGACATAACAAAAGAAGCTGTAAGGGACCACTGCTTGGTGAAGATAGTTCACAGCAACAGTCTCAACCAACCACACAAACAGAGTCCCAAGAAGATACACAGATCAGATCAGCGAAGGGGAAGAGAAAAACACATTCAATGGAAACCTCCAGGTCACAGACAAAGAAGTCCAACAATAGAGGATCAAAATCTTGAACATCATATGGTTTATCTTGTATAGTTAGTTACTTTTTTGGGAAAATGTTGTGGTTTTTTGTAAACTGAACTGAAAATATGTGCTTCCAATGCTTTTATTTTGTAGATGTAATTGGAATTTTTGATGAAATTGTTGAATGTTATGATAATGTTGATGTCGAATTTCTTGCATTATGTTTCTGCTGGTTGTCGTTAGTTTCTAAAATTGTATTCATAAGATCTGATGTGCAGGCCTGATTAGGAAATATATGAAAATGTTTGATACTTCCTCTGAAAGTATTATCAAACGTTTGGTACCTTTACTGAAATGTTTTTAAAGGTTTGGTATTATATCTTAAACCATTAGAAAAAGTTTGGTACTGATTCTGCGAATCGTTATAAGGTTTGGTACCTATGTTGTACCTTCTGTAGAAAAGTTTGGAGTGTCATCAACTCTTTTAATTTCGCATTTTACATAGAGGCCACGAAAAGATCGTTATCACCTATTAAGGTCGCATTAAGTACAAGGAAAAAGAGGGCACTTCATTTCAAGTAAAAAGGTACAGCTCAATTTTTCCCTTTTACATATGCATTTCACACCATGTAGCACATGGCTCTATGCTGAAACCCTAAACTCAAATTTCTAGAACTAAATACTGACATCCTACAATCTGACCCTACATACCTAGGAACAAACCCATTTTGCAAACACTCGAGAGACAAATCTGAAGAGCCAGATCTTCCGCACATTTGGTCTTTTTGCTTGAAGGGTGTTGATTTCAGCTTCCATTTCCCTCCTAGCTCGTAATAGACCAGGAATCAGTTCCTTCGATCTCTCACACATTGGAGGGTCACACCAAATAAAGAAGGTGCATCCATCCACATCTTGGCTTCGAGGACAAGTGAGAAATCTTCTTCCCGGGTTCAGGTTCGTCCATGAAGTCTTTATCTGCACCGAGGAACCACATCTGCATACATTCAACTCCATGTGCGTTGATAAGTATGTTTTTACACACTTATTTGGTTCACAAACATGACTTAAACATGGATAAAATGGTTGAATTGTGACTTAATCCTATTAAATTCATGCAATGTAGGTATTTCAATGGAGATTGTGGAATTCAGGAGAAACGAGCCGAAGAAGGACCAAAACGCAACAAAGTGATAGTTCGAGGACCAAAGGTGCAAATATTGAGAAGTTGAGCTAAATGCAAAACGAGAGTAAAAACATGCCAAGTATGAGCTCAATGACAAAGCAAAACAATTGGAAGAAGAAAGTATTGAAGAGGGACTGAAATGAAGACAATTGAAAGTTGGAGGACTAAAGCGCAAATACTCAAAAGATGTGCCGAATGAGTGGCATGAGATTTGATGGTGTCAATCATCAATTGAAAGACAAAATTTGTTGAAAAGATGAAGAAATCGAGGAAAGAAGTCAAGAGAAGCAACAAGGAAGTTCAGGGACCAAAATGTAAAAATCACATAGTTGGTTATATCTATGCGACCGCATAGTGTAACCATCTATGCGGTCGCATAGATGGATGCAGGGAAAATAATGGGGCATTTCAATTGACCTATGCGATCGCATAGGTTCCTTCTATGCGGTCGCGTAGAAGAAATTTCGAGGGGTTTTCTGTAGTTTCCTTTTTTGACTCCAACTCTTTTTTTTTTTACCTAATTTGGACACGTTATATATACCCTAAAACACGTCCAGAACTAGGGTAGACGATTTTGGGAGAAAAGAGGCACACAATAACATCAAGATCCAAGAATTTATGCAAGAAGAAGGAGGATTTCATCAAGATTGAAGATTTCAAGCGTAAATTATAATAGGGTGATGTCTTCTCCTTTATTGAATCTTTGTAATTTTCTTTAAAACATGATAGGATAATTTTTTATTTCATTGGGAGTCGATGAACCTTTGATTTTCTTATAAATTCTTATATTTCATGAGTTTAATATAAATTATCTTTGGAATAAATTGTTTGATTTATATTGCTTTGATTGAATCCATGATTTATTGGCCATTTATTATGTGATTGTGATGGTTTATTCTTTACATTCGAAAAAAGTAGAATAGACTCGATATATATAATTGACATAGGGTCCGATAGGGGATAGAAATATATCCCTATGCTTTATGCAATTCGGTAATTGTTCATAGAATTTCATGCGTTTTTGTATGTTACATCATCCATAGAAATATAGGTTGATGATATGCAGAAATAGATCTAATATATATCGAGAGAATATATTAGATAGGCGTAGGAACATTGAATTGACAATTTTCCATTGATTAATTGGATTTGTGAAATTAGGGTTTATAGAAATCAAATGGGGATTCGATATCCCAATGATTTTATTTCAACTTATTTCTACAATTTCATTTACAATATTGCATATTTACATTTTAGTTGAGTTGTTGAGTTATTTAATTAGTGGAATTTCGAAATTAGGGTTTTCAGTTTCGAAATTAGGGGTTTTCTTCAAAATTAGGGTTTTTAATTGGGGGTTTCTTCCAAAATTAGGGCTTTTCACATTTAAACCAAATTTTTATTCAATTAGATTCGGTTAAGGTCACATTAGTCTAATTAGAGCTAATTCAATCCTCGTGGGAACGATACTTGGACTCATAGTCCATTTTACTACTTGTCAACGAACCGTACACTTGCGGTGGGTTTTAAAATTGAAACAAATAAATACGCGAACATGCGTGTTGATTTTTTTGACTACCTGTGAAAGAGAAGATAGGAAGTAATATAGTGGTAAAGAAATGGAGGGAAATAAATAGTGAAGTATATAATAAGATAAAAATGTGTGTAATGCCCAGATTGCCCTTCACTTATTTGGGAAAAATTCTTGAAAATATCATTAGAGGTGTCAACTTAAAGTTTTGGCAGTCAAACAAATGAAAACTGTCATTTTGGACTTGCCCTACTCATTTTTTAAATGTTTGGTATCTCCGGTGGCACAAACTAAAAGTTTGGACAAAGTCTGCTAATAAACGAAAGATTTGGTACCTCGACTGCAATTTTTCCTATATGGAAGCGGTTATGGCTTGGCGAATTAGAGGAATGAAAACCCAAAGTTTAACACTTCGAGTTACTTGCTACTCACATGGGGTCGGGGCCCCATGTCAATAAATGTGTGGGGCCCGACCCCCTTACTCACGTCTAAGATTTTAATTATGACCTAATTCAAAATTAAGAAATAAGATTTAAAATTTCAAAAATCAGATACTATTAAAATCTATTTATGAAATTATTAATTAAAAAATATTTTATTAATTAAATATACTAATGTCACAAATATATACAATTTGGTCTTGAATTGTTTGGTTATAGAACATTTCTAAGTCACAGATCAAGAATTTTATAGGTCACAAATTATTATTGGTCACAAAATTTATAGGTCACAAGTTATTCATCAATTACAAAATTACAATTTTTATAAGTTACAACTTATTTAACGATCACAAATTTTCAAATGAATTGGTCACAAGTAATTTCTCGATCACAACTTAGTATATTATGGGTTACAATCACATTTTTTAGGTCATATATTTTTTATTAATTACAAATTAACCACATATTTACTAATTTATGGTTACAATCAATCAAATAATTGATCACGAATACTCCCCATTCCCATCCACCCCACCCCTGTTGATTCAGTTACACCACCACCCGTGTGCCTTTACCACCACTAGCCTACCACTCCACGACTATAACCAAACCAAATAAAATCCTCAACCTGTCGTTAGCAGCCCCATCATCGCCATTGCATGTGTCAATAATACCCACCACTGCCACCAGCATTAACAAAAACCATTGCAGCCGCATGTTCAACAAAATCATCGCCACCGCCATGTCCATATCTTACAAAGCCACTGTTACAGCTAGATCTAACAACACCATCAAATCCAACCGACTAGATCCATCATCGATCCAACAAAACCCACATCCACCGCCAAATCCACCAACACCACTTGATCAACAAAAACCATAGCCAAAACATGTAAACCACCGCTACCACTATTCACTAAGGCACGTCAGCATGCGACTTCTTTACACATCAGCATCATCACCTCTACAGGCAATGTTGCAGCAAAAAAGCCCTGTTGACGCTACGAGCGGCTTTTACGCGTAACCCTACATAGAAAAGCTTTCCCGGTGACGATGCACGACCTCGTGCAATGCTGCTCCGGCACCTAAGTGTTTAACTGGGACGCTAAGGTCGAGAGAAGAAGAGGTAGAGTAGAGTAGAGAGATAATTGATTGAGGAAGATAAATGAAATGAATATTAGGGTTTGTGTATATAAATAATTGAATTTTATAATATTATAATTTAATATTAAAATATTGTATTGTCATCTGATTTTTGTGTATATAAACTTCAATTCTGATTTTTGAAATGCAATATTTAAAAGAAGGGTTCCATGTAATTTCCAGTTGGGGGAATAGGTAGGTATATTGGGTTAGTGTTTAAAATGGTTTGGGTCTGTTGGTCATTAGGCTTTGGCAAATTGTGATAGGAACAACTTTTGAATAAAAAACGCAGCAGTACTTTCTTATGGCAGCAGACTATAATGATATTATTATTATTTTTTAAACTGATGCGTGAATGGTACCCAAGAACGGTACAAAATGAATTTCTTTTGAGCTACCAAAAGCTGTTGTTCAAAATTGAAGTTGGATAAATGATGGCGTCTTTAAAAGTGGTGGGCTGATGGTTTTATTT